AGATGATGATGCCCATGATGATGCTGCTGCTGATGATGATGATAAATATGGTGATTATGACACTGAGGGTGATAATGATGATGATGATGATGAGGAGGATGATAACGATGATGATGATGATGATGATGATGATGATGATGATGATGATGATGATGATGATGATGATGATGATGATGATGATGATGCTGATCATGATGCTGGTGATGATGATGATGTGGATGAGGATGAGGATTAGGACGATTATGCTGATGCTGATGTTGATGATGAGGATGATGTTGTTGTTGGTGGTGGCGATGATGATGACGATGATGCTAATGATTATGCTGAGGAGGGGGATGAGGAGGGACAGGGGACGAGGAGGCGGAGGAGGAGGAGGAGGAGGACTAGTAAGAAGGGATGGTTTCGTCGTATGACATTCATGCCGTCAGCGTCCAGCGCAACGCATGCTGAGGATGATGATGATGCTGCTGATGCTGATGATAATGCTGATGATGCGGCTGATGATCATGATGATGATGATGATGATGATGATGATGATGATGATGATGATGATGATGATGATGATGATGATGCTGATGCTGATGATGATGATGATGTTGCTAATGATGATGATGATGATGATGATGATGATGATGATGATGGTGATGATGATGATGATGATGATGATGATGATACAGATGGTGATGATGATGACACGGAGGGTGATACTGATGATGATGATGCTGATCATGATGATGATGATGGTGATGATGATGGGATGGGGATGATGCTGATGATGACGCTGATAATGATGTTGATGATGAGGATGGTGTTGGTGGTGGTGATGATGATGATGCTGATGATTATGGTGAGGAGGGGGATGAGGAGGGGCGGAGGAGGGGGAGGAGACGGAGGAGGAGGATGAGGAATAGTAAGACGGGACGGTTTCGCCGTCTGACATTCATGCCGTCAGCTTCCAGCGCAACGCATGCTGATGATGATGCTGCTGATGTTGATGATGATGCTACTGATGATGCGGCTGATGACCATGATGATAGTGATGATGCTGTTGCTGCTGTTGATGATGCTGATGATGATGATGGTGAGGATGCTGATGATGCGGCTGAGGATGATGAGGATGGTGATACCGATGCTGAGGCTGATGCTGCTGATGATGATGAGGATGATTATGATTCTGATACTGCTGATGATGCTGATGATGATTCTACTGATGCTGATGCTGATGATGCTGATGATGAGGAGGAGGAGGAGGCGGAGGAGGAGGCTGCAGGAGAAGGAGGAGGACGAAGAGGATGAGGATCATGATGAGGAATGGGAGGACGAGGAGGGGGGAGTAGGCGGGGAGGGCGATGAAGAGGAACTACGATGAGGAGGGTGATGAGGACCAGTGTAAGCCCAAGAGTCACCAACGATGTTGGAATAAACCCTCAGTCCAAGCTCCCCCTTCACAGGCCCCATACAAGGTTTCATGTCCACTGGGAGAACTGCCTCGTTGGAGGGCAACCGTTTGAAGACCCTGACGCAGGCGAAACCATCGTTCTCGGGATCCCAACGCCACGGATCAACTTGATTGTTGCGTCTTGATGATCTTGAACCGTGCCAGCACGCTGCTCCTGGACTTCAACGCCGCGAACCAACGTACCTGTTGCACCCTCATAGCCTTGAGTCTGTTCAAGGCGCAATTTCTGCTACGTTGATCATGACAATCCGTGAAGCCGTTGGGCACTTTTGAAGCGAATGTGCGCGGCGCTAAGGCGAGAGCCACGTTTTGAAAAGGAACCGCCCTCAATCCGTGAAGCTCTGGCAAATGGTTTGAAACGAATGTGCGCGGCGCTAGGGTCAGAGCCACATTTTGAACAGGCACCGCCCTCAATCCGTGCAGCTCTTGCCCATTGTTTAGAACGAATGTGCGCGGCGCTAGGGCGAGAGTCACATTTTGAAAAACTTTCACCCTCAACCTCAACCCGTTAAAGTTTTGCAAATTGTTGTGCGGCGTTATGGCTGGAGTCACATTTTGAAACGGGCCGCCCTCAATCCGTGAAGCTCTTGCAAGAACTTGCGAGGCGCCATGGCGAGAGCCACATTTTGAAAACCGCCCGCCATCCATATGTGAAGCTGTTGCCATGCTTTCAGCTCCAGTGCCGTAAATGGTGAGGGAATACCAGGCGAAACGCCAAGCCCGCCCTAAAAATTGGCCTCGGGGTGTCGACAGGGAGACGTTATTCGCAAGGGGACATGAATGCAGGATGAGGCGGACGAGGAGGAGGAAGCGCATGTTGGTGATGATGATGATGACGATGCTGCTAATGATGATCATGCTGATGCTGATGATGATGACGATGATGATGATGACAATGCTGCTGACGATGCTGATGCTGAGGATTCTGATGATGGCGGACACGATGATGATGCTTGTGCTGATGATGATGGTGCTGCTGCTGGTCATGATGCTGATGTCGATGCTGATGGTGATGACGATGTTGCTGATACCGATGCTGCT